CTCCGCGCAAGGGGGATGATCGCACCACGTTGTGTTAAAATGGTCAAGCACCCTCGAGGCAGTTACACAGTGCTTACAACTGGCTCGGAAGTGAAAGCACCAGAAAGTAAACTAAGTCATACGAAGCTGTCATCCGTACGCAAGGAAGTAAGCACAAGATGCCGAACACCCTTAGCAGGATGCAGCGCACCCTTCATGCGGCTCGCCGATTATCTCACGGCGCTTCGCGCTTGGTGATGTGACAGCCTGGTCCGGTGAGAACCCGGCGTGCTCCGTCCCGGCATTGCGGCATTGAAGGGATGCGAGGTCAATGGTCTAACGACTACGGCATGCACGACTATGAGTATACCCCCTCCCCCCCCCCGGGGGTTGGTTGTCTTCGCCTGTGATCCTCACAAGCCGCATTTTGCAGTGTGTCCACAAAAAAGTGCCCTGCGTCCGGAACGCGTCGAAGTGGATTGTGTNCCCCCACCACCCTCAACCGCGACCGAGATTGACACGTAACCTAGGGGTGTTCCAGTGTTTCCAGATGGAGGGACCTTTGCAATTCTGTAAAACATTATTATATTGTCCCCTGCCCCCGAATGGCGAATCCCCCACGAATAAACCCGGCCCACACGACAACAACAGCAACGGCAAGACAGCCGACCTGGAGGAACTCAACACGCCCCACAAAGGCTTTCTGTGGCACCTGAGGCGGGCCTTCGACCCGAAAGAGAGAGGAAGAGACGGATACGTCGGCACGGCAGCGGCAACGGCCGTCAGATACCGCGGAGATCGAGAAGTAGGGGCAGGCGGAAGAGGAGAGGAAGAACAAGAAGAAGACCGACGAGGGCGAGAGGAGGACGCCGCGAACGAGGAAGCGACCACGAAGCATGTCGGAAACGGCACGCAAAATGAGGCAGTGGTAGTGCTGCCGATCCACGGGGAGAAGGAAGTGGCCGGGTACACCGGCGGTTATACCGTGCAAAGACATGCGAGGAGTCGTGCAGGAGAAGGCACGGTAGTAAAAGGAAGATCGACACAATCAGCCGTAGGAATCGGAGAAGAAGAGAGCAGGAGAGGAACCAATCGGGGATCGCTTGCCGTAGATGCCGTCCAGCTAGAATTCGGTACGAGCTTCCGGCGCACCCCCGAGGCTCGTGCCGACGCGGCCGAGGCGGTTGCCTGCGCGATTTTCAACCACCTCCAGCAGGAACACACAAATTGGACAATATGACTGACCGACGATCCCAACAACTTGTTCACGGGCACATTATTCTGAGTTGAACTCCAGGGTAAGCAACGCGTTCTCGGTGAACAGGTGTGTGCTGACCACGAACCACAGAAATCTCGACATCGTGCGAAATGGTCACGCCGTGGGGGCCGTACCTCCTGCGGTAAAAAACGCACAACCATTCAATGACACTACTCTCAGGCGTGATTCGACCGTCGCCCGAACAGTCCGCGGCCATCGCCATGCTACACTTTCTGAAACCTGTGAGCGATTTCCCACAGCAGTACTGTAGTTTCAATGCCTCCTGACACACCGAAGGGTCAAATCTGAAACACCACGGCGATGATGACCGCGACGTGATGTCACAGAGTTTATCGCACAGAACAGCAGCGCATCTTCCCGCAGACGACTACCTTCAATTGGCAACAGCAACAACGTGAAGCATCATGTATTCACGTCCCAAACGAACGGAACCGTAACTGCCGTAAACCACTGCGTCCTCTACGGTTGGACGTATCTATGTCCCCTCATGTCGTGATGGCCAAAGTCAGGGGGAATTACGCGAAGGAATTTCCACCAGACGAAGAAAGAACCTAGCAGCGTGTGGCGCAATAAGGCTCAACAGACTTCAAAGGGCGTAACTACGGTGAGCAACCGTGTTCTCTCGCAAACATGCAAAGTATTGGCATCTCGTCACTCAGCCGTGCTTTTCAATATTGATAAATGCCAGCGTGGGCTTCTCCTTGAGCCACGAGGTTCTTCCCTGCCCCGCATCAACAGCCAAGGAAGAGACGGTGCAAGAGAGTCGTCAAAAACGCCCCAAAACAAAATCACTACATTCACCTCTACACGCTATTACGAGAAACCGTTTTGTACAGCAGTCAAGAGCCCCAGAGCAAGGAGAGCGTCGGCTTGAGGCCGCCGCCGCAGCCACGCGTGCGGATCCGATCAAGATTGTTCGCCTTCCTGGTGGCAAACGGCGTCTTGAGCGTGAGCAGCGTGCTCGCGCGTGTCCTTCCCGTCCTCGCCACCCCTGTGACTTTTTGCCGCCTCTCCAAGAGCAAAAAGCATCATCTACATGAGGCCATACTGGATCTCCATGGCCTCGTGGACGCGGAACCGCGGACCCTCGGGCCGGTCCGCGGGCGGGTCGAGGTAGTCCTCGAACTCCACCGTCTCGTCCCGGCCGAGCACGGTCTCCAGCCCCAGCATGGAGGACGGCAGGCCAGGGAGGTGCTGTGCCTGGCACGGACGGGAAGGACAAAAAAGGAAATGTACATGATGAATACTATGGGCACTGTCGGGGCATGTAGAAGCTTTCTCTAGAGTGGGAATTTGGACGGAATGAGCATGAGGTCAGCCACAGCAACTACATAGCTTACAATGTATACTCCTCCTTCTCTTGACTTGCTCTTGTCATGGAAACTCCTTACGACATCATGTCAGGAAAGCGATGTTCATCGCAGACATGGAATTCTCCAAAAGGCGTTCAAAATGAACGGGGGGGGAAGACACACGATCTAGTTCACTTCCTTCGCTGCCGAAATGTCCAAATTACTCCACCGCCGCCGTGCCATAAAATGTAGCTGCAAGTCCAAGTCACCTGCGAGAGGGTAGCCACCTCGGTCTTCATCCGCATTACGAAAGCGCTTCCGTAAACCTTGCCAGCGAGGTCCATTTTGAAGTCAAACTCGTTAGGGATCCTTGCCTTGTTCATCGCCTCCAACGGGTGTCCCGCAGAGGCGTCCTGTTGCGTGTGCCAACCCGGAAATGGTTCAGAATCTCGACAACACTTCACACCCTGTACAACTTCGATACATGTACTTGTTTTGCCAAACAACTATGCATAAATAGTCAAAATGTTGTGCAACTAAATGATAGTAGTTGTGTCAAAAACACTCCGAGTCAGACCCGTCATTCATTTGGTTATAGTTGTAAAGGGTGTGCAACATTTTCACTGCTGCTGTCTCGTGTCAGCCAGGGAAGACTGCGGATGGAATTATCCCACCGTACCGTTGACGCATTGCTTCCAACGACGAACGAACACGTGATGCTTTTAAACGACAAGTAGAGGGTACCACTTAGCACCCCTGTGGAACAAGTCCTCATGCACGGAGCGGTTCGGCACAAGCAGCGTTGTGTACATGGCGACGGAATGCTATCATCAACAGTGCTGGCTGGGTCTTCGTCGAAGGTTTCGGGTTCTTGGCCGTTGAGTCATGTGCGCTTGGCGCTGCTTGTGTGTGACGCTACATTGTTGCATGTGAGTCGGGAGTACTGCGCATATGGTCGCAACCGTGCCGTGGGTGATACGTTTGGGTGTGGCAATTGCAAGGAAGTGGCGCGTAGACCACAGGTCTGTACGCTACAACTAACACGCCTGCTCTTTACGTGGGAGAAACTTGGAGTTATTAGCGCCACGTGAGCAAGAAACTACTAGCCGTACTGAAGCCAAAAGGAGCGCAGGACCACGCACAAACTGAACTGAAAGTGAGTTTTGTTAGCCTAGAGCAGAGACTGGCCGCCTTAAGTTTCTACCCGTAGTCTGTGGCATTGTTCAGCGCACTACCGCATATGACAAAAGATAACACACCCCCTGGACCGATTTTCAAAGCTCCATTACTCGACGACGAAGAGGATGCATAAACGAAACGATACCTTTTCCAAAAGCTCTGGACGAGACGGTTTCAACGCCGCCGTTTTCGGCGCTGTGACTCTTCCGGCAGTTGAGAAATCGAGCTTAGAAAATCGGTCAAGGGGGTGTGTTATCTTGTGTCATATACGGTAAGCTTTTTGCCACTTTCGGTCCCTGCTACAGGGGTACAGTACAGCACCACTTCTGTAGAAGCTGTGGTGAACAAGCAATACTTGCACGGTTGTAGATACTTGTGAGAGTTGGGCTTCTTGTTCGCGGCGGACCGCCTACGCAGGATTTTGAGCGTAACTAGAGAGAAATAGGGAGGGGGCACGCAGACTCGCGGCGCACCCTGGGTGACGGAAGATACCCACCTCCCAATACTCCACCGAAGGTTCACTCCAGCGTGCTTGGAATCATTGATACAGCACTGCCACTTCGCGCTAACAAGGATAGCCCTTATACGAGTAGCGACGTGAACTTTCCGAATGCAATTGTCGATGATCAACCACAGCGGTCGGGGCATCGCACTGCTGTTTCAGGCACAACCCACAAGTGCTCCGAAATCCCAAGATCTGTCGGCCCTTGTTGCTTTGGCCGAGCTCCTGAGTTCCGTCCAATTTTCAACGGTTCTTCCGTGCTGAGATGCAAAAGCACTGCTGTGATATCGACCAAACCAGCTGCAGGTGGTGGGTATCTCGCGCGCCTCACCTGTGCAAACGAAGAGAAACCGAACCGCATCTGGTCGTGCGGCGCTCTCGCCATTGGCATCGCCTTCCCCATCATCCCGGCCATCCTCTCCTCTCGCTCTCGCTCTCTCGCTGTCGCTTCGTGCAACGACGGAGGGGAGTTGATGCAGCACTATCGAACGGTAGCCGGCGAGCCAAAACCACGGGGTCGACGTTTATCAGCTGAACTTTCTGTCTCCCTTGGGACTATCTATCTCCCTCGACCTGCTACTGTGGCTCGCTATCTGTGCTGTGCAGTGTGCGAACTCGGGAACTCGGGAGATGAGGGGAGATAGCCGTGGGGGCACGACAGATAGGTATTCATTCATACACCAAAATCAGTATCTGCAGGGCCCCATGCAGGCTTGGCTCGCCGCTCGGCAGTCGGAGGCTTCTGCTGAGTTGCACGACAGCAGCGAGCAGCTAGCGCCAGAGAGAGAAAGAGCGAGAGAGGCAAAGGGGAGGAGGCTCAGGGGGAGGAAGTTCGACGTGAAGATGGTGTGGTGGGTTGTCCACAACACGATGATGAGGAATCAGCCGGTAGCAGAGTCGTCATTTAGAAAGGGACGGAGGGCAGGAGGGTGCGTTGGCACGTGGCTGAAGGTTGCAGCGGTTGGCGTGCTGGCGTTCTTCGCTGCCGGGGCTGCTGCGTCTGATCGTTCCATGCGGGTGAGTGAGAGACGATGCAGATCGTTTTGTCGCCTTGTCGCCTTATGCCGACTGCAATTGTCGGCGGCAGGCAGAGTCGGGCACCACTCCGTGTGAACTCGATGCCGCATTCATGTGTGTGTGCGGCAGTGTGGAGGCGATCCTTAGCACGCCGATATACCCTGTGAAGCCTTTTGCATCAAAGCACTCTGTATGCGTTACCCAACCGTCCTCGTACTCTCTTGCCTCGTTGGTGCCTTTTGTGAGTTGGCGCGTAAAATGAGAACCTTGTCTCCTCATCTTCAGAAGTTGAACATGTCAACTGGGTTGCTGGGCGCTCGGCGGCTCTTTCTAGACATCAAGTTCAAAGCCCGAGTTCATTGATGCATAACGATCGTTTTTCCGTGATCATCTCGTGGGATATGCCTATGTAGCACCAGTGTAGTCAAGCAGCAATTACTCCGGCTGTGGCGGTGATACAAAACATCTAGCAACGCCGTTGAGTTATTTGTCTTTCAAGTTTTTGCACCCGCCCACTGGTGGCGGATAGGCAAACTCTATCGAGAGCAGCAACTACCGGTACATACAGGTCTGAAAGCTCCGTACAAGTATCCACACATAGATGAGTTGAGACGCGGGTGGCGTTGGTACGGTAAAGGTAGACATGTTGTCCGTTGTGCGCCACTGGCGTTTAGAATTGCATCAGGATGGATGGAATAGTGGCGAGTTCATATCGTTGCATGCCCGGCAGAACTTGAGCGTACCGATTGTGAGCTCGGTTAAGGACCACACGCCCTACCTTTGAAGTGTTTGGTTACACTAAAACCTGGTTGTGCATGGCGGCCATCTGTCGCCTACCATCATACGAACCCCAGCGAAAACTAGACGAGGGGGGTCTTGTCACAGTCTGCGTCGCCCCCCAAGTGTATAGGTTTTAGTATGGGGTCTCTATTGTGTGGGCGCCATCTTGTAGCTAGCATCGGCATCGCTTTTGCCTGGATAAGGCGTGCATTCATTGTTCTGCGCATGAGACGTCATATGGTGGCAGAGCCGCAGTCTCGCGGTGAATATCGGGTGTGAACGCGACAGTGTTATTTTTTTACGTGGCCAAGTACACGTGTGGACAGACCGCCTTGTCGAAAACTAAGTTAATGGGGAATAGGACAGGGATACGTACGATTGCATGCTTTGTCCAACATGTTTGCTTAAAAGAAAAAGCTGCGAACGCTGCTGATGCTCCTCGGCCTTGGCGGCGGTGTTTGTTTGTTTTCCTACAACCTCGACTTGGGAACGTAAAAGCCATGAAAATGTATGGTGTCTGCGCCGCCCCTCGCCGCAAGCCCTGTTTTGACCTATCCTCCGGCGTGTGTCTGTTGATCACCCCAGAAAGAAACTCTTCGCTCTTTACCGCACAAACGAGAACTGTTGAGTGATACCGGACACTTTGACGGCGTCAACGAGATATGTGTGTGTTCAGTGTTGTCCTTGGCGGTGGAGTAGTGAGCGTCTTCCATCTATTTTTCCCACCCGGAAGTGGCTCTTGTCCGGAAACTGGTGCCTTCCCAGCGTAACGCCTTGTCGTATATCTGCCATAAACTGCCGGCAGATAGTATTGTATACAAAGCGCGAGAGCCCCCCCCTCTCTCTCCCTCAGCGGAACGCCGTCAAGAGGGGAGGTCTCACTAGCCCTCCCTGTTGTTGTTGAACGTGCTGGGATAACAGACCATGTACATGTCTTTGGTGCTCGCGGCTCCGCCGAGTACCGCGCCTGACCGCCCCCCACCCTGCATTCTCCAACATCCAATGTGTGTATACAACGGACCTACCACATGAAAAAACAACAGGCAGCCGGGATGGAGAAGTACGGCGGTTTGCGGGAAATTTCCGACAACATTCGTCTTCAGTTGGCGGCACTCCGTTCCCAAGTCGGAGGCGAAGAATCCCAGCTCTCGAAGGAGGTCAACAGCGTTCCGCCGAAACCCCTGGAGGTATGCATACATGCCAAACATTTCTTGTTTTGAGCGCACGAATGCTGCTGTTTTCCATGTGTGTGGTTTCCACTGTGCGGTTGCGAGGAAAAGCCGAAAATATGCTGTTTTGTTGGGCTTTCCGGGAAGTGATGTGCTCGCGTGCCGTAGCCTGAAAGTTCCGATCCTTGTACGTGGCACGCGCACCCTCTCTTCGTTTGCCCCAGGTTTGCGATGTGCGTTTTTTTCTTGAGAAATAGATTGGGTATCTGCTTCTTCGTGACGATGTCCATTTCCGAAACAATAATAGCTGCTGTGTACCCCCTGGTTACACACACTGCAGTGCCCCCCCCTCCCCCCCCCCCGCCCGCGCATGGCGTCGCGAGCAGCGGTACTGTGCTAGCCTTGAGGTGTCCCCGGCGTCAGAGTTGCTACCACTAGATGTTGCTGCTAGGCCCTTGAAGCGGCGATAGTACGACGAACAAACGTGTCATCAACAACGATCCGCTGCAGGTGTTCGAGTACGGCCCTTCGCGAAAGGCCTGGATGCGCGACCCCGACAAGTACAAGTACCAGGTGCG